TATTTTCTTTATACATGATATCAAGGGCATCATATATGAAGAAAGCAAAAGTTTATTAAAAAGACAGAAAAGTAAGGACCAAAACGAATGCCAGAAGAGACTCTGAAACTTGCTCTTGAACATAGAGTAGCTAAAGTAAATGGAAGAAGTGAAGAAGTAAAAGAGCTGAACAGAAAATTTCATCAGTAAGTGCCTCAAGTCATCTTCACTTTCAGCAAGCAAGGTTGTGTCACCTGCATACTGCAGGTCGTTAATGAGTCTTTCTCCAATCCTGATGCCATGTTCTTCTTCCTACAGTGCAGCTTCTCAGATTATTTGCTCGGCATACAGATTGAGTAAGTATGATGAAAGGATTCAACCCTGACACACACCCTTCCAGATTTTAAACCATGCAGCATTCCCTAGTTCTGTTCAAATAACAGCCTCCTGTCCATGTATAGCTTCCTCATGAGCACAATCAAGTGATCTGGAATTCCCCTTCTTTGCAATGCTATCCATAATTTGTTATGATCCACACAGTTGAATGCCTTTGCAAAGTCAACAAAATGCATTGCATGTTAACATCTTTCTGGTATTCTCTGCTTTCAGCCAAGATCCATCTGACATCAGCCATGATATCCCTCATTCCACATCCACTTTTGAATCCAGCTTGAATTTCTGGCAGTTCCTTGTTGATGTACTAGCAATCATTTTTTAATTACCTTCAGGAAAAACTTACTTGCATGTGATACTGTTAGATAATTTTCACATTCTGTTGGAGTATCTTTCTTTGGAATGGGCACAAATAGAGTTGGTTGGCCAGGTAGCTGTTTCCCAAATTTCTCTTTTTTTAAAATCTGAAACAGTAGTTTTTATTTTTAACTATTTATTGTGATTTGGGTGTTTTCCAAATTTCTTGACATAGATGAGTGAGCACTTCCAGTTTTGCATCCGTTTGCTGAAACATCTCAATAATCTATCAGTTCCTGGAGCCTTGTTTTTCATCAATGACTTGAGTACAACTTGGATTTCTTTCTTTAATACCATCAGTTATTGATCATATGCTACTTCCTGAAATGGTTGCATGTCAACAGATTCTTTTTGGTACAATGATTCTGTGTATTTGTTCCATCTTCTTTTGATACTTCCTGCATCATTCGATATTTTGCCCATAGAGTCCTTCAATATTGCAACTCAAGGCTTAAATTTTTTCTTCAGTTCATTCAGCTTGAGAAATGCCCAGTGTCTTCTTCCTTTTTGGTTTTCTAACCCTTGGTCTTTGCACATTTCATTATAATACTTTACTTTGTCTTCTTGAAATCTTCTGTTCAGCTCTTTTACTTCTTTATTTCTTCCATTTACTTTAGCTACTCTATGTTTAAGAGCAAGTTTCGGAGTCTCATCTGACATTCATTTTGGTCTTTTTTGTCTTCTCAATAATCTTTGCTTTCTTCATATATGATGTCCTTGATGTCATCCCACAACTCATCTGGTCTTCAATCATTAGTATTAAATGTGTCAAATCTATCTTTTTAGACGGCCTCTAAATTCGGGTAGGATATACTCAAGGTCATAAAGATTTTGGCTCTCAAGGACTTGTTTGAATTTTCCTCCACTTCAACTTGAACTTGCATAGAAGGAATTGATAGTCTGTTCTGTAGCTGGCCCCTGGCTTTGTTCTGTCTGATGATATTGAACATCTCCATTGTCTCTTTCCACAGATGTAGCAGATTTCATTTCTGTGTATTATATCCAGTGAGGTTCACGTGTTATCACTGTCATTTTTGTTGCTGATGAAAGATGTCTTGCAAAATTCTGTCATGAGATCTCCAGGACCATTTCCACCACTAAGGCCATATTTTCCAACTACTGATCTTTCTTCTTTTTTCCAACTCTTGCATTCCAATCACTAGTAATTATCAATGCATTTGGATTGCATGTTTAATCACTTTCAGAGCAGCTTAGATGGATAGAATCCCTTAAGAGACAGTTTACAAGGTAGGTCGGTAGGGACTTGGGTAAGTAACCTGTCAAAAGGATGATGGTCCATCATAGAGAAAGGACACCAGAATACTATTTCAAGTCCAGGAGGCCAGCATTTACAGGGTCTTCTCAGTAATTATGCAGTCTTCTGCTTTGACTAACACAGTAATGGCAGAACTTTACAACGTCTGCAGAAGACTCACTTCAAGGGAGTGAGAACTATATTCCAATGATTCAGTGAGGTGCAAGGGAATTATTTTCCTCATTCAGGTGAACAAGAAGCCTAATCACCTTGAGTAGGTACAAGTAACGATGCCAGCCCTAGTCCTGTCTCATATAATAATAGCTGCCACTTACTGAGCTCCTCTTATGTGCCAAGCACTGTGCAGGACAGCTTTACAATGTCATTTTCTTTAATGATACCCTCTCAGAGGAAAGATACTCAGAATCTCCTAAAGACAGAAAATGATTGCACAAAGACAAATTATATTCCTTAGGGTAACACTAGTAAGTGACTCAATTGGGAATTCAACACCAAGTTAAATGTTTTCTTCCCATTACCCTGCCCCCAATAATGATGATAAGCTATGCCAGATTTCATACCTCTCATGCCTTGGAGAGGAAAAGAAAGTAGAAAGACAGAAGATGTTACCTTCCAAAGTAACTTTTTTTTAAAAAAAAAAAAGAAAATATAATGTGCTTGTAAAATATTGCTTTCAAAGTAAAATAGGGTAACTTTCCAATTATTTTACTTTCGAAAAATTTAAATCCTTTATTACAGGGCACATGAAGTCAATCTGTTTTTTTTTTTTTCCTGAGTAGCACAAGAATTTTAAAAAACTGTTGAATATGCTAAACTACTTTTGGAATAGACATTTCTGACTGGTAGTGATTATTTATCTTCATTCATAATCATTTTGTATAACATCACATAGTGAGCTGATATACATCTTAAGCCAGGAGGATACAATGGTGACAAAAAAAAATCAGGGTCAAAGAAATAATACTGGTGGAGGCACAAGTTACAAACTTCCAATTTCAGTATTCATTTTCTGTGCCTTTTTATCTGTTACTGAACACTCAATACCACTGAGTAATTTAAAGCAATTTTCAAAGCTTATATTAAGAGATAATACTATATGTAGATCAAGTGTAAATGTTTGCACAAAGGTCAACTCTGAGTTTCAAAATATAATAAAAGTCTCTAAGCAACAGATTTTAGAATAAGTAACATTTATTTTGTCTCTGGAGAATAATTACTTGTCTCTAAAGGGACAGTGACACATTTCAAGGAATTCTCCTTTTCAGAAACAGAGACAAGTAAGTTAAAATAGATAGTTATCAACTCTTACGAAGTTGAGCTGATTTATTTGAGTTTTCTGTGAAGGCTTATGAACTCAAATGACTTTACTGGAAGTAAAACTATGGAGTCCCCGGGTTAGTGCAAATAGGTAATATGCTGCAAACCCAGGGCTGGAGGTTTGAGTCAGAAGCAAGGCCTACTGATCGATTTCCCAAAAACCATCCAGAGCACAGTTCTCTACCTGGGGTCACCCTCTGTCAGAACTGACTTGATGGCAACTGGCAAAATAAAAATAGACATTTAATTACCATCACAGCAACAAAAACTGCAAAGAGCTATGCTGAAAATCAAATAAATAATAATCACACAGTTACATATTTATTTATGTATTTCTAAATAACTCAAAGGCTTTATGATTCAAAATGGCAAGGTAAAATAATCATCAGGTAGTATTCAGATAAAGTGAAATTTTAGAAAAAGAACAATATAACTGCAGTGTAGTAAATTACTTTGTATGGCTTTTCTACCCATAAGTCATTGTAAACTCAGTGGTGGAATGAGCAACTGAGGAGTTCCTGATTGTAAATGTTATCCACCTGAAGTATTTCTGTTGGGCGTGGCACAATACAATGTTCTGGGAGGTTCCCACTCTCTCTCAGATGCTTAGAGTTCTGATGCTATGATTGGCTAG